GCAAAGCATTCACAGAAATGAGCATCTTGCAGCAAGCTGGTGTTAAAACACTAGTAGGGTGCCCAGGAATGTGCTCAGCCAAGGAGACTCAGCTTGCAGCAAATAAGGCTGTGATCTGAGAGTCTAGATGGAATAATGCTGTTGCCATGCAGAACTGGCAGGCAATGCTTGGCAAAGTACAAGTAGTCAAGGCGTGCCATGGCAATCCTGCCAGCGGTTGCCTTTATCCAAGGGTACTACCTGGCATCCGTGTGGAAATGGTGCCAGACATCCACAAGGTCCCCTGCCTCCAAAGCTGTCCACAGCTGCTGGCCTGAGGACCAATGAGGTTCTGGCCCATTTCGGTCATGCCATTAATCAACCATGTAATTAAAGTCCGCCCCCAGGAGGAGAAGGTTGTCATAGTCAGCTGCACTCCTTAAAAAGTCATCCAGGGTCTCAATGAAGGCTGTCCATTCTGGCCTGGCAGTGGGTGCATAGATGATAATTAAGAGGAGGTGATGCTGTATTAATGTGATATGAGCAGTTACCAGGCAGCCAGGCTGACCTCTTGTGTTACTGCCAAGTCAGGCATCAGCTGTCGTGATAAGAGGATTGTGACCCCTGTGCTGAGAGAGGTATCAGGGCTCAGAAACATATGGCCCTTCCAGGTGGCATGCCATTTGGCTTGTCTTGCTCTATCAGCATGAATTTCTTGCAGAAAGGTGCTGGCCAGGTCTTTCTGGTGCAGGAAATCAAAGAGCGCCATCCGATTTACAGGGTCTCTGCAGCCATTGGCATTGAGTGAACCAAAGGTTGTGGCAGCCATGCATAAAGGGTGTAGAAAAGGGGGACAGGCAAAGACAAGGGAACAGAGAGGAACAGAAGAGAGGAACAAGCATGCAGGACAGGGAAAAGAAAACAAAAAACAGGTCTACAGCTTGCCAGCCAGCACTGTTCACAACAAGCACCCAACATCACCCACAAGCTTGTTTAAGCAAAAACTATATTATTGTATTCCTGTAGTGGAGTGCAGCAGCACTACTGCAGCCTTAGCAGACACCAAAAATGTCTCCAGTTCTGGGAACCATTTCTGTATATGTTGTGTAACCCTCCAGTGGTGCTTTGTCTGGTCAAGAAACTCAATAAGGCTTTCAATTGAGTAACTGACATAGAGAGGTTCTTCAGAAGCAGAAACAGGTTCTGCCTCTGGGGCGGTGATGCTCCCTATTGAGTGGGGCACCTTAGCTGAATCAAAGGACACCACCTCCTGAGGCAGGACTTCTGTTAACTAGTCCTCAGAGGCAGAATAAAAATCTGACCCTGAGGAGGAGGAGCTGTATGAGTCAGGCACTGAGAGGCGCCGAGTCCTGGGAGGAGCACTTGTCCCCTCACCAGGATCCTCAGCATCAGTCCCTGTGGGAGCAGCATTCTCTGAGGGGGCCTGAGGGGGGGACATCTGTCCCTAATATCTTGGGGAGCTCTCATGGGCCAGGCACTCTTGGTCCCGGAGCTGCTTGCGGCTCCCAGAGGGTCCAACCTCCATATCAACCTTGTTATCCTGAAGGAGCTGAGAAGTGGGGGGAGGGTCATCAGACTCCACCACCACTTCCCCCACCCCTAGGTCACCCCCATGTACCACAGGGTCTGGGGGGGATGCTGAGAAGACAGGCAGAGAGGGGTGGCCCTGTTCAGCAACCTCAGCTTCTCTTGAAGTGGTGGGGATAACAAGGCCTTTTTAGAAGACCCCTTTTATTCTGGGACTTGCCCTTCCCAGCAGGAGGGGCCAAATCCTCCCCTGAGGGAGGAGGAAAAGGGGGAGGGAAATGAGGAGTGACTGGGAGGATGGCCCTTCCCCACCACCCAGCAGGGCTGCTGCACCAGAGCCAGAAGAATCAACATCAGGTGCAGCCGCAGGAGGCTCTGCCACAGCTGGCTTCTTCTTTGGGCACTGGGTAGCCAGGTGGGACTCACTGCCACACTGAAAGCATGAGGTATCCCCAGTGGTGAGGTAGAACTCATAACACTGCTTGTCAAACAAGAAGGACATGGACTGGGACAAACCCTGACCCTCTCTGTTGAGAATCTTAAACAGCTGCCTTTCCAAGGATAGGACATGCTGGAGCTCAGGGACCTTGATGCTAAGCAGCAGTCCATGGCCCTATAACCATGCCACAAAGGCGCAGGTGGTAAGTGAGGTCATTGTCCGAGAGAAATGGAGGCACGTTTGAGGCTATCACACAAACGGCTGCCTAGGGGCATTAGAAGGCAAAAAACACCCCCATACTCCAATTCCAATATCAATTTATTAAACCATTTGGCTTTCTTTAATTTACTTCATCTTTATTTCTTTTTCCATGTTTTTTTTTTACTTCTTTTTATTTTATTCCTTAGTGGCTGATTTCCTTCATTTCACCACCCATCCCCCATCAACATTTTCTTTCCACTTCCCATTGAATTATCCACCCCCATCCCATTAACTCTCCACCTCCCAACTTCATGTTCATGCCCCACAACCCTTTCCACACCCCTAACTAGCGCAGGGACAGAAGCCTGTCCTTGCTCACTAGCTGCCTACTAGCAACTCACAGCTTTGCAGGCTGGGAACAGTCAGAGAAGCTTTTTAGCTGCAAGCACATGTGACTGCTCCAAAGATGAGCCAGCACTAACTCAAATCAACAGAGCTGAGCAGCTCAAAGTGCAACGTGCAATAAGGCAGTAAGTCACTTGGCCCCAAGGGAAAACAATTTAGGCTTTGGTATTTAGGCAGGAGTTTTAGCTATGAATCATAGTCCATACATGCTTAGCTCAGGATTGCAAAAGGATGACTACTCTTCAGATCTAGAAGAGAGATGATATTTCAGATCCACCTCTCTTCTATGGTTCTCTAACCTAGTAAGGTATTCTACTGAGACTGCTTTCTGGGCATCAGAGGTGCATATGTCCAAAATCACCCATTTTCAAGTGCCTGAAAACCATATAATGGGTCATTTCATGTTTAGTATTCCATTAATTTAGCCTGAATAATCAGTTTGGGAAAGGAAGAAAAGGTACCAAACAACTTTTCCACTAGTCCTCCTACTTTATGTCTTATCTTTTTTGGTGGACTCAGGCAGGGTGGAATAGAATCACTCTTAAGGTACAAACACATGTTTTTGGTGGAGCCCCCTCACCTCATGGGACCCTCCAGTGACCCCAGCTGAGGTCCTGGGGAAGCTGGGTCAGGCCCGCAAGATGGCAGGGCTCTGTTTCCACCCCCTCCCCCCCACCCCAGAGCTGGCCATTCAGTAGCCAGGACCAGCCAGTACAGAGCTGATCGTCAGCTAATATTAATAGATTTTAATATTACAGATGTTACATTAGTTAATTTAAACACTCCGGTTGTCTGACCCTTTGCAGTTTGGCAATATCAATTAATTTCAGTTAATAACCTGGTATATTCATTTCAAAGTTGTTGTACTGATATCTACCAGCTGAGACTTGGCCCCTGAATTACCAAGGAAGTGTATTGAGAAACAACAAATGAGTCATCTGGGTATCAATTGCAATGCAGTTATGCTGACATACATCAACTGAGAGCTGACACATGTTCCTTTCTAAAGAGTCCAAGTGCCACAACCCAAAGTAGCATGACCTCAACTTAGTGTACTTTCCATTCTAGTAGATAATTACTTCAATTATTAGTTTTAGGAGCCAAATCCAATAAAAAAGATAGATAAAGTGAAGCTTGCTCTGCTATGGTTCATCACATTTGTTCTATACAGAAATGTACAATGCTACCAGACAGTTGCTATTGGTTATTTTATAAGGAAAATAGTATTTTTTGCATTCTCAAAAAATAATAGTAATTTCTTTCTTTTATTTTTTTTCTCAGCTTCTTGCATTTTTCTCTTTTTTTTCAATTTCTCTCCTTCAAGAAGAATTCAAATTATTCAGCTGCATACAATATATCAGACCCTTATCTCCCTTCCCACCCTGATCCTATGATATTTTTATTTATTTTCTGCTTTGAAACATGGTAGACCTGGGGAAACACTCTTGCAGTATTGCAATGAAAGGCCCCTCAAGGCCTGCCTGACAGTCTTGTTCCTCAGGCTGTAGATAAAGGGGTTCAGTACTGGGTATACCACAGTGTTGAACAGGGCCACTACTTTGTTTTGGCCTAAGGAGACACTTCCTGAGGGCCTGGCATACAAAACAATGCAGCTTCCATAAACAATTGCCAAAGCTATAAGATGGGAGGCGCAAGTGCCAAAAGCTTTCTGCTTCCCTTTGGCACTTGGCATCTGCAGAATAGTGGAGAAGATACGTGTGTATGAAACCATAATTAAACCTAATGAACCCAGAACTACAGTTAATATTAAAATGGAATCTCCTCTCCTAAGCATTTGGGTGTCAATGCAGGAAAGCTGGAATAGGGGTGAGCTGTCAAAAGAAATTGTTGATTCGATTTGGCCCACAGAACCTCAGCTTTGAAATTAACACTAAGCGTGAACTTCCAAGCATGAAACCTACCACCCAGGCATCAAAAACTAAGCAGGTGCAGACATTTGCCTTCATAATGGTGGCATATCGTAAGGGGTGGCAGATAGCTACATAGCGATCGAATGACATAACCACAAGAAAGGCAAGTTCTGGGGGGAAAAAAATCATCAAAAAGTCATATTCCTTTATGTCCCCTAAATGGCTTCAAACATATCAACCTAAAATTCCACTTTTCCATGATAAAATTAGTCAGATTGCATTGCAAAGGATTTCATAGGGTGATATCTTTTATTGGACCAACAATATAGTTGGGATAAAGTTAGACAAGCTTTTGAATGCAAGACATTCCTCTTCATGACCGATCACAAGAAATTAAAAAAAAAAAAAGAATATAGCAATACAGAAGAATATGAGAAATTTTCAAGTTCTTGGCCTCTAATTCATGTGTTAGCTTTGTGACATTATTATCTATTTCAAGAATTAATTATCCTGTTTCGTATTTCTAGGTAATCCAAGTTGTTTATAAATAAAGGACAATGGAAAACAAAACCACAGTGAACATGTTTATCCTCTTGGGACTTTCCAATGACTCACACTTCCAGATTCCATTCTTCATGGTATTTTTAGTTATTTATCTAATCACCTTAGTTGGAAACATACTGATCATCATGGTTATAAAGGCTGATTCCCATATCCACACTCCCATGTACTTCTTCCTGTGTAACCTGTCCTTCCTTGATGTCTGCTACTCCTCTGTCACTGTTCCAAAAATGCTAGAGGGATTCCTAGCAGAGCAGAAAACTATTCCATTAAGTGGGTGCATAGCACAAATATTCTTCTTTATTTTCATGGTTGGCACAGAAATTTTTCTCCTCTCTGCAATGGCATATGATCGATATGTAGCAATATGCAATCCACTGAGATATAGTACCCCTATGAACCATCGTGTCTGTATGCAAATGGTGTTGGGTGCTTGGATATCTGATTTTTTGGATTCCCTAGTCACTACTATTTTTCTTACTGAACTTAGCTTCTGTGATTCCAGAGAAGTAAACCATTTCAGCTGTGAGCTACCCCTTCTGCTGCAACTCTCATGCACTGACACCTTTGGCAATGAAATGGTGATCCTTACATTCAGTATGACATTAGGGTTTGCCTCCCTCCTCCTCATTCTAGCCTCATACATTATTTCTACAATCATCAGGATCAGCTCATCAGAAGGCAGACACAAAGCCTTTTCTACGTGTGCTGCCCATCTTATTGTAGTTCTCTTATTCTGTGGCACAGCATTCATTAGGTATGTGCGGCCTGCCTTCGGATATTCTCTTGCTGTGGACAAGCTCATATCTGTGCAGTACAGCATTTTAACTCCAATGCTAAACCCCATCATATACAGCCTAAAAAATAAGGAGGTGAAGGTGGCTTTGAGGAAAGTGTTAGGAAGATGATGTATAGGAAGATGAGGTATTTAACTGTTTCATGCATCCTTCTGAAGCAGACCTTTCAGGACTGGATAGATAATTGTGCTATTTGTATTAAAATGTAATAAATAAATAAATAAAAATAAAGTATTTTAAAAGCTTCTTTTTTCTTGAAAAAGATTGCTGTCAGTTGAAAGAACTCACTTGTCTAAAGGTCAAAACAAGTAGAAACCTTTCCATTGACCTCAGTTTCCCTTATTTGTTTTCCTATATCAAGTTTGAAGGAAGTTTAAAATCCAGAAATGATGTTCCTCCCTTTTGAACTAGATCACTTTTTGAGGTCAATTCTAGCCCTGCATTCTTAAGATTCTATAATAACTCCCCTAACTATGAATACAGTTGGACCCCAAGTTACGTGGGGGATACATTTCTGAAAAACACCATGTAAGTTGAAACCATGTAACTCGAGGCATTAAGATAGGGACCTGGGACCAAGATTTGATAACATTATTTCATAATAAAAGGATATTTAAACACAAAATAATGAAATTAATGGCCTTATTAAAACCTTTACTCCCGGCTACATGCTCATACAGAGACCAAGCTTTAGCTCTAATTGCCGTGCCATCAACAACTACTCCTTTTGTATTGGTCATTTCATTGATACAAAGATTAAAGAGTTTCTCAAACTTATCTAAATGAGGAATTCTAGTCACCAATGACACTCTTCAACTCACAGGGGTTGTCATTTTCACAGTCTCTAATTTTTTCTCACTTTTTTAATGGTATGCACAGTCAATTCACTTAAACTGTATTGGTGAGCAATCGACGCAGCACTATTGCCTTCCCTTAATTTATCAAGGATTTCTATTTTCTGGGCCAGGTTGACAGATTTACGTGCTCTTTCAGGCACAGCATCAAAGGTTTTCTTTGACACCATTTTCACAAATATTCAGGGGTTTACGTAACCAAAAATGATGGACAATCTTGGAGGAGATGACAAGTGATGCTAATGCTATGTAAGCAGGCTCCAAACTGCTTACGTAGTGTTCTACTGAAAACAGTGTAAATGTGAAGCAGGGTATTGCGTAAGTTGAAACATGGTCACATTATATAAAGTGTGCATATATGAATCAGTGTAACTCAAAACCGTGTAAGTGGGGGTCCGACTGTACTTAACTTGTATCGGGGCAGATCCAGGGGGGTGCAGTGATGTGGTTGCACCTCCCTCCACAATATACCTCACATGCTAATTGCTCCAGTTACCCATGGCCTGGGACCCACTGTGGAGTCTGAGGCACAACTGGCATGGGACACCTGGGGGACAAAGGACAGAGAAGATGAGGAAAGGAGGACCTGTCATAGATGAGAGAAAGCTTTGCGATCATTTGGAGTTGGCCGAGCACTCTTCCCATGAGATGTCTGGGTAGCTGAAGTCTCTCATGACAACCATGCACCTGGAGCATGCAGCTTCAGTCAATTCCCTGGTGAACTCCTGGTCAAGCTCTTGATCCTGGGTAGGAGGTCTGTAATAGATTCCCACCACTGTGTCCTTTGTGCCATGTTCCCCATGGATTTTAACCCAGAGAGTCTCCAGTCATCCACCCTGGGTGCCAATGTCAGCTTGCAGGGATGCGTAGCTTTCCTTGACATAGAGAGCTACCCCCCCGCCCCTTTTGTCCACTCAATCTCTCCTGTACAGGGTATAGCCATCTATACCTGTGGTCCAGTCATGGGTGGAGTCCCACCAGGCCTCCATTATCCCTATGACATCATCATTATTTGTGTTAAGAAGGAGGACAAGTTCCTTCTGTTTATTCCCTAAGCTCCTGGCATTTGTGTACAGGCAGGTGTCACTTTAGTGGCCCTTGCCTTGCCTACAGCTCATTCCAGGGCTGGGGCAGGGGTGAGCTCCCTTAAGTGCCTTGACCTGCTGGCTTTGCAAGAGTTGTTTAGCAGGTCAGCAGTGGTGGTAGTCCTCCCCATCCCCTGGCGGGCTTAGTTTAAAGCCCGGTGGAGCAGATCAGCCAGTTTAGCCGAGAAGAGCCTCCTCCCCAGCAGAGAGAGGTGGAGGCCATCCCTTCCCAGCAGCTCACTGTCTCTCTCACCAAAGAGTGGACTGTGGTCATGGAAGCCTTCCCGATGACACCAGCACTGCAGTCTTTAGTTTACTACCTCAATCTTCCTCTCCCTCCTCAGCCTGTAGCCCAAGACTGGGAGGATCAAAGAAAACACCACCTGCACCCCCAACCACTTTAGCACCGACAAGAGGTAAAGTGCTGCTCAACATGGTACTGGCTACGGGGGTTGACCTAATCAGCGACCTAATGATCGAAGGGAAGCTGGGTGACAGTGACCATGAGCTGATCACCTTCACCATCTACTGTAAAGCTGGCCAGTCAGCAATACAGAAGTCCTCGATTTCAGGAAAGCTTTCTTTGACAAGCTCAGGAAAAGAAAGAAAGTGGATCCAGCAAACTACAGGCCCATCAGCATGACCTCTATCCCAGGGAAGGTCTTAGAAAAGATTATCAAAGAGACCATTCTTAACAGACTGGTCAATGGCAGCATCCTGAGGGATAGCCAGCATGGGTTTGTTGCAGGTAGGTCTTACCTGACAAATCTAATTTCCTTTAAAGACCAGGTGACCTATCACCTGGACAAGGGAGAAGAGATTGATGTCATATATCTTGATTTTAAAAAAGCCTTCGATCTGGTATTCCATGATCACCTCTTAGCAAAACTGGCTAACTGCGGCCTCAGCTTTACCACAATCTGCTGGCTGGGGAATTGGCTCCGTGGTCGGCCCCAGAGGGTGGTGGGTGATGGAAGTCAATTGTTGTGGTGTGCTGTGACCAGTGGGATCCCTCAAGGCTCTGTCCTTGGGCCAACACTATTCAACATCTTCATTAATGATGTGGACATTAGAATCAGAAGTGGACTGGCCAAGTTTACTACTGACACTATACTTTGAGGTAAAGTGTCCACACCTGAGGACAGGAGGGTGATCCAGGCTGACCTTGACAGGCTCATGACATGGGCAGATGAGAACCTGATGGTGTTTAACACCAAAAAATGCAAGGTTCTCCACCTTAGGAAGAAAAGCCTGCAGCATCCTTATAGGCTCAGCAGTGCTACGCTGGCTAGCACTATGAACGAAAGGGACTTGGGGGTCATGACTGACAACAAGATGAATATGAGTCTTCAATGTGATGCTGCAGCTAGTAAAGCAAGCAAAATACTGGCTTGCATCCATAGATGTTTCTCACGCAAATCCCAGGATGTCATTCTCCTGTTGTACTCAGCCTTGTTGAGGCCACAGCTGGAGTACTATGTCCAGTTTTGGGCTCCACAATTCAAAAAGGATGTGGAAAAGCTTGAGAGAGTCCAGAGGAGAGCCATGCACATGATCAGAAGTCAGGAAAACAGACCTTATGAGGAAAGGCTGAGAGCTATAGGACTCTTCAGCTTGGAAAAGCGCAGGCTCAGGTGTGATCTGGTGGCCACCTATAAGTTTATTGGGGTGCTCACCTGGATCTGGGGGAATGTCTGCTCACCAGACCACCCCAGAGGATGACAGGGTCAAATGGTCACAAACTTCTCCATGACCGTTTCAGGCTGGACATAAGGAAGAACTTCTTTAGTGTCCGAGCCCCCAAGGTCTGGAATAGACTGCTGCCGGAGGTGGTTCAAGCACCTGCTTTAAACACCTTGAAGAGAAATGTGGATGTTTATCTTGCTGGGATCCTATGATCTCTGCTGACTTCCTGCTCCTGGGGCAGGGGGCTGGACTCAATGATCTTCTGAGGTCCCTTCCAGCCCTAATGACTGTGAAATCTATGCAATCTATGAAATCTGTCTTCTGATGCTGTTGTTCCCCAAGCAAGGGGGGGTGGGGGACATAAGTAGCACAATGAAAAACATTAAAGAAACTGCTGTGGGTGTCAATTCTGGCATAATTTATGGAGATATCTACCAATAGCTCTTCAGTATCATTGAATCAAAACATAGCTTTTAATAAAATGGGAGGGAATCTGGCCTGGAAGAAGCAGAAAATAACATATAGAATCAGACTCCAGGCCCTTCTAGCCTAGTATCCTATCTGCTACAACAACTAGGTACAAATGATTCGGAAGATGGTATAAGGCAATTAAGTCAATTATCTCGAGCATGAAGGAGGATCTTTCCTCCAGATTATCATGATAATCTGGAGGAAATTTCCCCTTTATTGAAAGTTCCGCTCTATTCAGCACTGGTGAGGCCACATCTGGAGTACTGTGTTCAGTTTTGGGCCCCGCACTACAGAAAGGATATGGATAAATTAGAGTCCAGTGGAGGGCAACAAAAATGGCAAGGGCGCTGGGGCACATGATTTATAAGGAAAGACTGAGAGAACTAAGCTTATTTAGTCAAGAAAAAAAGAGACTGATAGAGGATTTAATAGCACCCTTCAACTATCTGAAACTAAACTGTTCTCAGTGGTGGAAGATGACAGAACATGATTCTATGATCTGCATGAAGATTTATATCCTGCAAAAACTGGCCAACATTAACAATTATAACTTTATTTATTCATGTTATCCATGTAATGGCCCAGTCCTTTTTGTAAACTTGCAAAGCTGTTGAGTTTATAGAAACTGCATAGAATGAATTTGTGGTAATATGCACCATTTTATTCAAGATGCTTTAGGTAAAATACATAAAAACGTTGTGGAGAATAGGAACAAGAACTCAGGACTCCCTCCTCCTAAGTATACGATCCACTAGGGAAAAAAGGCCTGCTTCTCTCTTACTTCCCCTTCTTCTGTGTAAAGAAACCTTCTGTTTTTAAATGCACTGCAGCTCAGATTCAAGAAGAAGAGTGAATCATGCCTCCTTCCCTCCCCCTGACTACTCTATAGCCTGGCTCGGAAAATAAAATCCTGAAACAAACATTTTATTTTTTTCTGATTTTGATCAAAATATGCTTTATTTGGGAGCCGATTTAAACTTTTTTTCTCCCCACCTGGATATTTACCATTTTTGTC